TTGTTGTTGTTGTTGTTGTTGTTGTTGTTGTTGTTGTTGTTGTTGTTTTGAGAGGCTGGAGAGGCTTGAACAGGCCTTTTTAGGGTCATGTGAGTCATTTTGGGGGGTCATGTGAGTCATATGTACCCTTCTTTGGGGTTGATTAAAGTTTATTACGGTCTCTCGTCTTCCGCAAGAACTGAGAGAACTGTGTGAGCAGATACCCTCGGCAAGTCCTGTGGATAGACCTGGATAGAGGATCCCCTGTTTATCCACGATCAGTGGGGTGGCTGTATGCACAAAAAATGACGGGACGATGAGTGGAAAGTTGAGCATTCCGGCAACCAGTATGGTGAAGAGATGTGAAGAGTATGATCTGATATTAAGGTGAGGATTGCTCTTGGAACTGGCTGCAGCGAGTTGGTTCAAGAACATTTGCTTTCTGCTTGATCTGACTCTATTGCTATGGAGAGGGCTTGGAAGCTGCCAGTGATCCATGAACTCAGGACAGCTGCAAGTTCCATCGGAGATTTTGTGGGAGGAAAGCCTGAATCTGCCAAGAAGAAGTGGGAGGACTACGGCAACGGGTCTGTTCTTGGTTCACCCTTCAAAGCTGCCTTCTTCGCAGTCAAAGGTGAATTGGAAGAGGCTGAGAGGTTGGGCCGCGAAAGTGGCCGGACTCTTGGTGGGGCCCCAAAATCCCAGGGCTGCACGAGATAGGCATGTGCGGCAAGTCCTTAAGGCTGGTTGCAGAAGACAACCCCCAAGCAGCCAACGAGGTCTGGACCTCAGACTATGTTGCGGATAGTGTCCTGGGATCATTAGTGATGGCCGCTGTTGAGGCGGTTAAAGGTCAGAATAATGATGCCATGGAGAACCTACGTCGCAGCATGCGTGCCTGGGAGAAGGCGGAATTGGCTGTTGACAATGCCTTGGACGCACTGGAGCGCTTGGCAACGCTTTGCGATTCCTTGAATCTGTTCCCACCCTTGGTCTTGGGCTCGCTGCTCACAGTGGGACTGGTGAGGCAGCTGAAGCAGCTTCCGAGATTCAACTCAGAGGCTCCTTCTCCAGAGATCCCAGAGATTCCAAGGGCTGCAGCTCGTCGTCGATCCGTCAGCGTGTAGCAAGACCAGATTTGAGAGGGCTTTTTGCAGGGCTCGAGTTCAGCACCCCTTGCTATATAGGCTATATAGTCGCAACTTACTGGCTGAGTGCCGCGGAAAAATGAGTGAGTCAACGTTGCCACAGGTTTTTTTGGTACTTTGGTGATTGGGCTTTGGGGTGACCAGGCTTAACAATTTTAGTATATATCATATGCATATAAACAAACCAAGAACTGGAGAACCATGACGCGCCATCCTTGACAAAATATGTACTCCAATATACTCCATCTCCAAGCAAAAAGTCTCCAGCAACTGGTATTCATAGATCATAGTATATCATAATATATAGATCTATTTCATCAACGGTCACCAACTCGCCCTGGTTGCTTCCCAATTGAACGCCTCCAACGCTTCCCACACGCCGAACCCTTAAGCCCGACCCCCGACACCGACCGGCGGAAAAACTCGCTGAGGTGTCTCGGTGATCGGAACCATCGCCAGTGAGGTGGGTCCGGACGACCTTGCAGCCACCCGGCAGCACCGGCTCCAGCGTGCCGCCGTGGTTCGGCGGCGCCGGCGGGTGGAAAGCTGGTGAATGTTGAAGCTGGTGAAGCTGGTGGCTGAGCTATTGATTGGAGGAACTCCTTGGACCAGGCCCTCCGGAATTCGAATGAATACGGCATAGGTGTGTTGTGTGTTTTTGGCGGGGGTGGTTTTGCCCCCCCCCACACTCATCCCACTGATCTCACTCTTCCTACTCATCTCAACCTAAGCAAGTTGCAAGTTGCATCAAGTTGCTCCAGTTTTTGTACTTTTTCGATGCCTGCAGTGTCCCCCCCCCAGACACACCCACTTTCAATGGCTTTCAATGGCCCACTTGAAACCGCCACCCCCGCCGCTCCGCCGCTTTTCTCCGTGTGGGAACTCGACCGGTAGGGGGCGAGAGAGTTCAGTGATGGGGATGAGGTGCAACGTCCCCCTGTGTCACCCTGTGTCACGATACAGACAACCATTTCAATGCAGAGAACATGGAGAAAACAATCCAAAAGAGGTGGATTGAGGTGAAGACTACAATCCCAAAGTCCTGAAGGTCCTTTTTCTCATGCTTCTCAGTGGAGGTTTTTGGAGACCGTCTTTGCTGTTGAATCTCCAAGAAGTCACCAGTCTCACCCCACAAAACGATAAAATGTATTGGAGGCCTCAGGCCAGGAGCTGGTTCTGGTAGAGGAGACAAGTGGATGGGGAGATCAAAGCATATCTCCAGGCTGCCATTTAGAACCGACTCCCAAACACAAAGGCGATTTCAGGCCAAAGGAGCCTGAAGGTTTGTGGCTTTTTCTTGCTCCGGATTGAGGTTTTCAATGCCAGTTATCGGATTTGTGCTGCCCTCAGATCTGGGGCATGGACATGACTGTCGTGTTCATCGGAAGTTGGATAACTTACCCATCTTTAGATTCATGTCATAACTGGTATCAACTGGCAACCCTTCTTCGCTTTTGCTGTGATCGCACACCAATTGTGGTGATCGGTTTTCATGAGTTGGAGCAATTCCGGACAAGATCAATTGTCGTGTCTCACACAACATTGTTTTTCGGACAAGCAGGCGGTGCGTTCTCTAGCAGGAATAAAAATCTGAAACTTCTCTTCCTCAAGCTGAAACGAGCCCACCCAAACCTAACAAATTCACACATATTCACACAAATTGTTCAACATGTCAAACTTGTTGCAGAGGCTGAACAACTCCAAACCCGTTCACACGCATGTAATTTGCCCAAGGCACTTGCAGCAGCACTGAAGTAGCACCAAGTGCCATTGGAATATTCTTCCTTGACCTAGCGGCCTATAACATGAATCATCACACACACACAACTGCCCTTGGCGCCTACGAAAGATACCGCTATGCGGTGCACTTTAAAGGAATTTGTTTCCACTATATACTGAGGGCAACCCGTGTTTGGGGACACCCGATCTTACATTTTTAATGACTGACCTCTGAAAAAGATCGACGTGAACTGGTGGCTGCCAGGTGTTGGATGTGCTCCTACGAGTTTTGGAAGACGGTGAAACGCCTGTGGCGTCCGAAACACAACCCCCACAGGAACGACGCGTGTCGTGCGGCCCACGACCCAAACGGGTGTTGGTTCCTGCCGTCAGGCTGGATGGCCCTGACCTTTCTCGGAGCCTTAGCCGGTGGCGTCGGGGTCCAGCTGAACATCGCCTTGGGCAAGGCACGGCACCATCGCCGCACGCGGTCCGAAACGCTCCGCGTCGGCGGACCGCGGTGCGTTCTCGGCGCGGAAGCCCGCTCCCGTCGGCCCGGGGAACCCCACGCCAGTGAGCGACGCGATAGGAGGGGATCAGGGAAGCCTGCAGGATCTGTCGACCTGAGCGAAGGTGAGGGATGACGGCTCACCTGTGACGTGTATGATGCGGGAGTATACTACAGAGGGAGATTTGAAGAGCAATGACCTGTTCCTGGTTACGGAGTGATCGGCCATACATTTGACTTTCGATTCAAACTTAAATGCAGGCCGTTTGTGTGTGTGCACGCTTACATATTGCATTTCCAGCCAAGTTCCGTTTTGGGGTTAGTGCTTGTGGGACCACGCTCCGCACATTTTACTTGATTGTTGTGTTTCTTCTCTTGTGGCACCGCCCTTCCTGCACCACTTGGCGTATAATTAAGTTTGTTGCAACCTTAAGGAAGCTGCAGACTTTCAGGGTTTTCAACTGCAGCTTTGGGCCTTGAGTTTTAAGCCACATCCGACAAGTTTTGAAGGTAAGTTGCTAGTAGCTGGTTGCAGCGGCGGGATTGGCATGCAGATCGACCCCATTTTCGGAGAGCATGTTAGGGGAAGGACAGCTTCAGATTTTACATCCAGTAAACGCGCTTGGAGAATTGTTTTGTGCGTGTTCAAAGGGGTTTTTGCAGGCTCTCAGTTTTAGATATAAGAATTCAGCCCGCCTAGAACGGCTGAAAAGGCACGGTAGACGTTTGCTGCATGAGTAGACGGTTATGTTTTGAGAAAAAGGATCAACTATCGAACCTCGGAACAGGGAATTTTAACGTTTATAATGTGTCAATCAGCCCAGGTAGTTGTAATGATTCCTTTGTCAAGCAGTTTTTGTGCACCCAGCACGCACTGCAGGTACTTCTATGCTTTTGAGAGCCACTCCAGGGTACAGTATATAGTGAGATATAGTGAGTATAATATAGTGTTCATATCCGTGTTCTTAATTTGCTTTCCGGATGTTTCTCTCCTGCGTGCAGCGGAAAGGGAAGCACAGCGGATGCGAAGCATGCCGCGTGGGTTGGCACCATGATAGCCATTGTCGTGCTGGTGGTGTTGGGGGTTCTCATCCTGCGTGAGGGCCCAGAAGTTGTACGAAAAAAACACGGCTGGGTAGTCTTCAAACTCAAAAAACACTTCAAACTCCAGGATGTCTATGCTGGGTAGTCTGACTCGGATGCCGAGTTTGAAGAGAATTGAAGAGAGGAATCGCGTACTTTCAGTCGCTTTCATATGTACAGCCTGGACCAGGTGGGTAAACCTGCTGGATATCGGCCAAAGGCAAGCCTTGGAGATGCAATTTTTAAATGCGTGCTTTGTCCCATTTATGAATGCTGCAGCAACATCTGGATTGATCATTCGAGGATTGTTTCTCCAAGAGGAGTCTATGGCAGACAGATGTGCAGTGGATTCTTTCTGGTTTAATTCTCTCATCATGCACTGTCACGCTGGTGATATAACTTAAAACTACTATCAAGTATTGTAAGTTATCATAAACATGTGCTACGCAGAGCAGTTCAAATTAGACATGCCACACATCCCACACCCTTCAACATCCTGAGACATGTTGGGCAAGAAAACAACAACTTTTGTTTTGATATGGACTCAGAATGTTTGCATTTTGCCTGGTGAACTGATGTGATGGGAAATGCGATGGGATCACTCACGATGTGCTTCGCTCCGCAGCGGTGCATCCCGAGGTGCATCCCTCGCTCTTTGGCGCGGATCTTCTCCAACGATCCGAAGGTCGGTTCCGCGGAGTCCCGGGCACCCGGAGCCCAGCCTCCGTGGTCTGACGCCTATTCTGCTCATCTTTCCGTGGTCTGATGCAGTCGGTATTTGGGTGCCATGACCCAGCAGGCGCCAGCCAAAATGGTCTGACCCACGGCCCTTCACGGCCACTTCTCTTTTTAGGTCAGAGTGTATAGGTGAGAGACATGGATGTCAACATCAACACCCCCGGCACCAGGACTCCGGCGAGTGGCTGCCGATGTGTGTTGACAAGGTAGTTCAAAGGATGGGCATGGGCAAGAACGTCGATGCCATATTGGTGTTGGTCAGTGTGTGTGTGTGTGTGCGTGTTCATGCCAACCATTTTTTGTGGGGGGATCGGATGCATTCTTTCATTGTTCAGACGCCCAGTAAAGCCACATGTGAGTGAAGCGACAGAAGGAATGAAGCGAAGGAGCGAAGAAAGGAGCCGATAGGTATGAGAGTGCAATGACGCGACCCGACTCGGCCCGACGTCTCGGCGAGCCAGCCTGTTGAGCCCGCCTCAGCCACCGTGTTTGCAAAGATGTTTCTTTCTGGAAGACATGGGTGTGTGAGTCTTAAACTAGAGAGGCCTCGCGGCCTCCCAATATCTACTCCCCAATTTCCCAAGGGAATACCCACCCAGAAATGGGCGCCAGGCCAGGGGGGATCTGCCAGATGTCACCTCCACACCCAAATCCTAAACCCAAATCCTAAACCCTACAAGGTGCCCCCCAGTAGCGTCCGGACGCTATTCGCGCAGGTCCTGGACCTGTTCGAGTCGTGCCGCTGGCCTTTTGCTGCTTTCGCCGTGCCCAGCCCTGGACCGGTGGCCGATGGCCGGGGAGTCCTATGGAGTCTGAAGCTCAAAGAATTCGGTGTTTGATGGACGCTCGGACCGAAGAACAAGGGGTGTCCTGTCTGAAGATCTGGATCGAACGTGTAGGGTATGTTTGATTGGGAGACCCCTGTTCCGAAGGTGCCAGCGGATGGTTGAAAGTAAAACGATCATTGGAGGGGAGACATGATGTGGGACATGTGGGACAGGTGCATTGGCAAGGAGATGGACAAGGTGGACGAACACATTGATGGATGTTGTCCAATGATTGTTGATAGAAGGCATTCTCACATCACTGCCAGTCCATGCCTAGGATTGGTTTTAATGAAAGGCAACCTTTCCACGCGCACACAAAAAATGCTCCATGCGAGCATGCCAGGTGGATATAGTGCACACATTCAAGTCCTCAAACAAAGCATTCGTGCAACTGCCAGGGGCCTGGCAAGGTTAGTTAATCCGTTTGAGAATTACCACTGGTTTACCTCGCTGCAGACAAAGATGGTCCCCCAACATGGGTGGTTCAAAGTTTTGGGGGGCTCCATTGCACGGTCTGAATTTGTTGGAACGGTATATCTCAGCACCTCCCGCAGCTTCCCAGAACACGAGCAGATGAAAGCTGCCCAGGTGCTGATGAACCTCTCGGCAACTTGGCACAACGAAAGATCTTAGACCACAGTGGTGCCCGGACACATCCCATCCAAGCACCGGTTCGACCGGCCTGAACACATAGGGAACCCCTGTTGAAACCAGTCTTCAGAGCAAGAAGAAACCAGCTCAGCGCAGTGTCTAGAATTAGAATCAATGGCCGTGATGACAGTGATTCAGGTGGGCAAGATCATGATGGGCAAGTCATGTCAAAAAATCATCTTCCGTCGTCATGACCTCGGTGGTCGTTCGTCATCCAAATCGAGACCACATGTGAAACACTGCCTGGTTGGTCAAAAACATTCACCTCGGACTCCGTCTGCGGTCTCGCGAGCTCGGGACAGCTGAGGTGAACATCGAGAAGATTCCCATGGCCAGGGCCCCAAGCATCACAACCGAAGCGAGCGAAGCGGTGGGTTTTGAAGGGTTGGAGGGCAGGGACGGATGGAGGGCCGCACCTGGAGCGTGAGATGGAACAGAGAGTTCTGTGCCGCTAGATGGAAGTGGAGTGATTTGATGAAGGTTTCGACTTGTTGAGGGATGTGTCCAACCAAGAGACCCCTTATATAGGGCCACCCCTGCAAGGCTCTTCTTTACGGACGCATGAATTAGTTACAGTACTGTGCTGTGACATAAGCTGTGACATGGGGCTGAAGTCTCAAAACCCCTGGGCCCGTCACTTGCGGCAAGACGAGTCTTTCGCCGCCTGAGTTTTCAGTGATGAAGCCCCTCAACCTGTCGATAGGGGGCGGAGCATCGAGCGAAGAGGATGAGAGTCCTTCGGTCCCCGTGCTCCAAGATGAGGGTATATCCAGCAGTCACGTTCGACGGGGTGCGATCCATGGAGGAAGTCGGGGTGCCCCTGTCACATCCACTCACTGGATGGGACTAAACGCCACTCCTTTTGTGACTCCTGGATCATAGTATATCATGGGATATCTGACAGGTGTTGCATGGTCTTTCTACACCCCGTGAAAGAATCATGGACGTGGAAAATGATCCCTAAAAATGACGACTGAGTCCTCCACAAACAAGTGGCTCCACAAAACCTCACAAAACCATGCAATATATTATTTCACTGTGGGTCTATCTTTAAACTTACCCTTTTTGCTTTGACCTACCCATGACATGATCGGCCACCACCTTTAAACGGCGCCTCTCCAAAAAACGCCGGGCCTCTAAGTAGCTCGTCCGAGGCCGCCGGTCGGGTGAACTCCGTCTTCTACGCGGGCTTGGCGGGCTCCTGGCTTGGACAAGTGCCAGGCACATGACCGGAGCCAACTGTTTCGCCCGATGCCAGGCGGCGACAGGTGGAACACCAATTCGTTGGTGTGTGTGTTTTTTTAAAAGGCCAGAAGGTAGGCTTTGTGGTAGGTGGGGAATCTGTTGGCTTGAACTTACATAGAAAGTGATGTTCCATTGTCCAGAGCGTTCTGGCGCCCTATACCATCAGCAGGTGGTGTTTCCAAGATGTCCTGCATCAGTGCAGTCCCATGCAGTCCCATTTCGTCCCATTGATGTCCGACTGCAACTCATCATGTGTCATGTTTTTGGGCCTCTCACCTATTAATGAACTGTCTCTCACCTATTGTTTTGGGCCTCTCAACTCTCATCGTGTCCAACTGCAACATGATGCGAATGATGTTCACCACCCAAACAAATCCTCCTTGCTCGCTGCGCGAACGCTTCTCCAGGTGTGATCCTTTGCATCTCGCTGTGGCGCAAGGACTGGACGTCCTCCAAGGCGGAACCGCCCGCGGCGGAACAGCCACCGTTCCTTTCGGTTCAAGGACCTCTATGGCATTTACACCGGGGTGGCAGCGGGCTATGGCCTTCTGGTTTTGCTCTACTCAGGCCTTTTTTTTCACCTGTACTGGGGAGGTCTTGAGCAAAGCCCTTGCACAGATCTGGGCTTTATGGATTATGATGATGGATTATGTTTTAACATGTTGTAAAGTTGAAGATTGGCAGTGGATGGCAGTGGTCATTTTCTGTAGATTTCTGTAGTAGTTTTTTTGAGGGGGACCTATTATGCCAAAAACAGGAATCGGAGAATTGCATAGCTTTTCTTTAAGATCACGGTTTTTTGGCAGCCTGTTGTGTGCACTTTTTTGCAGCCTCAATACTTCATGGATCTTCACGGAAAGCTCGCCTGGCAAGGCATTGTTCTTTGCTTAGACTGGGACAAGGCCGGACTGGGAATCCGCCTTCGAATCGAAGTGATCTTCGCTTAATCGTGGCATCTTCGAAATGATGCCGTGCCCACACCACGACTGCTTTCGAACAAAGGCGAAGAACATGGCGACTTAGGCAAGATCGAAGCCCGGTTCGCCGCTGTGACCCGACACCACCGTCCGGTCGTCCGGTTCTCCGTCCAGGTCGTGGAGGAAGCTCAACTCCGCTCCGAGACCACTAAGCCGGACCTCACCATGAGCATGCAGCCGACCAACGCGTGGCACTGAGCGATCCAGTCGTGGCAAGAGATGTTGTGTTCTCCACTTGCTGTTGGTTCTGAGACGTCTCAAGACATTGAGTGCTTCAAGATTAAGTTGAGAATGCATGAAATCCGTGGGAAACCTTTTAGAAGTCCTTGCATGTCCTTGCTGTGTCTTTGGTGATTTTTCCATGACCAATAGGACATGCGCCTGAATGCGCTTGGTAAACTCTGAGCTGCTCGCTTCGGAGTGAGGCTGAGAACGACGAAGAGCAATCACCCAATACCAACGCAGCATAAATATAAGACACTTATGAAGTTGTATGAATATAGCTTATACATTCTATATATACGTGTCTCTATCTATTTTTTATAGTTACATTATTATATTATCTATTGCATATGCACATTCTATTGCATTATATGAACGTAGGCGATGATGATGTTCGTCGGCCGAACGGGCCGAAGCTCAGATCCATTGAGTTTGGGTCTTCGTGAGCTTTGCTGCGTATGGGTCGAATCGTTTCGATGTCCAAGAGCAAAAACCCCAAAGGGCTCCTTGAAATAAGGGTTCCGTGGATGGCCCCGAAGACTCGGAAAGACCATGTTCCTCTACGAAGAGGTCGTTGTTCCACTTCCGGGAGAGTATTAGATCTAAGTCTGCCGACCAGTAGAGACCTGCAGGGATATTCTTGGAAGTTGTTTATTTTACGGGCTGGTCAATCCGGCTGCACCCTCGTGGCTCAGACAGCTCCCGAAAATTCGGGCGCAACCGGCTGCGCGGTTGACCACAACCGTCTCGGGGCACGTTTCGCCATGGATGTCGATGTGACCTTTGATGGCTCACCAGGCAGAGTTCGTTTTTCCACCCCGAGGCCGAGCGGGTTCGAGGCCGCGTGTCACGGAAGTGGGCGTTTCGCATTGGTCCACACGGCAAAAACAAAAACGGAATTCCCCTGGGAGTCAAAGACCAAAAAAGAATTCATTGTTTGCAAAGGAGTTTCCTTCGCTTCAGTCGGTCAAAATGTAGTCTTTGGACTTCTCGAGGGAATGCTTTAAAAGCGAACCGGTGGACCCAAAACGTTGGCGCAACCGGCCACCCGCTCCAGGAATGCTCCCGTTTTGCCGATCCTCTCCAGGGACCTGGCAACGCCCAGGGGTGAAGCTGACCTGGACAAGCTCAGCAGAGATGCCACTGCACTTTCAGAGGCACTGCAATATTTGGTTCAAGCAACGGCATTGTCGCTGTTTTGTCAACTCGCCACTTACTTTTCCCCAGACATTGACCCCTGAAACCACCTCAGTGCAGGTAAATATATTCCTACCTTACATGGAGCGTTTGGTTTCTGATTTGTGACTTTGACATGCCTACTACTCCACCTCCTCAGCTTCTCGTCGAAAGGACTTGGATGATTTGCGAAGCAAAATCCGACGCATGGACGCCTGGACGCCTAGCAGAATGACCGAAGACCAGCTTGGTATGGCTGACACAACAACAACAACAACAACAACAACAACAACAACAACAGGTAACAACAATCAACAACAAATGCACCAGCAGCAACAACCACCATGACAATAGCGCACAACAACGACGGCAAATAGCTGTAGTTGCAAATAGCTGTAGTTGGACCACTGCGTGGCTTAGAGGCTTAGAGGTGCCAAAGCAACTGTCTCGGTTCTGAGGTGCCAAAGCTGGCTATTGATGTGCAGCACGTTCAGCCTCTTGGGTGCTTTCCCCAGATGAGGAATCCGCGCAGATGTTCCACTGATGAAGTGATTTGCGGCAATCTTTTTCCAAGGGGCGGATTGATAACCATCCTGATCCCTTCGCACTTCAAACATGGCCGACTTGTTTCTGACGTATCTTGCACATCCTTGCACTACATCCTTGCCCTTTGGACCTAATATCTTCAGAAGACTTAGCTACTTCAACTACTTCCTTCAAGGAACCACCCATTGACTCCATGTGTGCCGGGTCCGCCCCTTGGAAATGTGGGGGTTCCCACGACCTAGGTCGCAGTGGATCCCCAGTGCAAACACTGATTTCAGCGTCCTCGCGAGTTCAGTGCTCAACGACAAGGCAGCGCGCGCCCGGGCAGATTCCGCACCCAAGAGAAGCAGTGTCACGTACCCGTGCGCCGTGCAGGGAAGAAACGGCAAGGGCTTTGTTGTGCATGTTTTTCTCCATTGGCGTGTTACCCGCAGAGCTTGTTCTGCGACCCAAATCATCAGCAACTGATGTCTCTCGTCAGTTGCTTCAGACCAGTCTTACATGGTGCGCGTGGCCAGGTGAACAGCTTCAGACACGACTTGGCCACAGAGACTTGGGCCAGGATTTCAGGCGACGAGGATACCTGCCGCAGGTGCGGTGAACGTCTGAGAGTTCTGGTACAACGGACATATCACGGAAGGGAGAATAAATACACCTGTGTTGTATAGCGTGTTCTGAGGACGAGAGCCGATGCTCGAGATGTTGACTGATGCCAAAGGATGCATGTTGTTCTCAAAAGATATATTGATGTATGTTTTATACATAATTACAGTCATATTTCATCATATTTCTATATACTATATAGATACTAAGCGGTGGCTTCGGACATTGTTATTATCAACCTTTACTTGGGTTGATTGAACTCACTGACTAATATGTTTCAAGTGGGTTGAAACTACCAACCAGTATATAAGTATATAGTTATATTCAAGCACGTTTCGCTAAAGATTGAACTTTTTTGAACCGATATTGATCGCACTCTGAGTTCTTAGAGTTGGCAGATGAGAAGATCCTGTTTCTGCATGTTGGGACCGTGATCAAAACCTAAAGACCATCCCAAAAGGCATAGATAGAGGTACAGATGTGTGTAGTGGCTGTAGTGGGGACAAATCTCTGAGCAAAGGCAATGAGAAAGGGATAGGAGTAGCGCTTCTACCCGCATTGCTAAGTGAAGCCAAGTTGCTTTATAAGTCAGCTTTGCCACTTGCAGCTCTTGAGCAAAGGCTGAAACTGAAACATTTCAGAAGTTGAACGTTTGTCATTGCTTCTGCGGCAGGCTGCTGAAACTGGAGCAAGTGCACATTGATTTGGACCGGCTGAGTTGTTTGAGCAGTGACTTTGCCTTCAAACGCGTCAAATGTGGAGCAGTTTACACGTAGTTCAACTCAGGGTTGATGTTTGTATAGCCCATGCAATCCACCTGTTGTTTTTGGTTCTTGATGGAGAATGCAAGCTTCTTGTTTTGTTGGATTATGGTAATATGAAGATGCAATGTGTATACATACATGCAACACCTGTGTATTTTGCTGGACAGACATGTTGTGCCTTGCTTTTTGCTGTTTCTTGATGTCGATATTCTCTCGCCAGGACCGTCGGCTTCGCGCATGGGCCCCTTGGGCGTTGAATTCGTCAGGAGACCATCGCGGCTGTGGACTCCTCACAGCACCCGGTTTTGCTTCGCCTTGCAGCAGGGCGGCTGTTCTTTTGTTCCCCAAACAGTGTGGTCACACTAGGGGTTCTTGCGGTAAGGGTTAAACACCGGTGTCTAATCGAGGTGTCGCACCGGGGCGTCCGGCTAATTCGCTGCTCTTTACAGTACATTCATGCCTCTCGAAATCCTCGAAGTGCATTCCGACTTCGCAGGCTCGCAGAATCTGTGTGTCCGCGGCAGGTGCTTGTGATCCTCGAAGTGCAAATTTCGTGGCAGGCACAGCACTTTGTGCTCTCAGATGCTCTCTCTCTCGCTCTCGCTCTACACTCTACACTCTACACTCACACTCACCACTCTCTCTCTCACTAACTCTCACTCACGCTCTCTCGCCCCCTCTCATTCACACTCTCACTCCCTCCCACACTCTCACTCACACTCTCACTCTCACTCCCTCACCGCACTCACACTCACTCTACCCAATGCGTCTAGATCTCTAGACTTTCTGTTGGCACACCTCCAGGCCTATACTGAACTGAAAGCGATGCCACACGCCGGCCTAGGATTCTAACTCCTAAGGGTACATGTACGAACCACAGGAACCTGGAGGACTTCAAGAGGAAAGAAGGCCAAAAGCTCAAGGCGAAAACGGACCGACGAGGTGACGGCGTGACGTGCATGTCTGCGGAACTCACTAGCCCTTTACCAAAGTTCAAAGGTTCGAGGAAAGCAGGTACGTCACGGTGATCAGCCGTGATATCCGCATGTACTGTGGCCGCTTCGTTGGACCATCGCACACAGTACATGCATGGTCCCCCTGCTACATAACGAAAAGACAAAAAAAACAAAACAATCCGAAAGGATCCCTGTGATTCCAAGGGTTACACACACACGCCTCCCCGAAGGGAGGCATGTGTGACCTCCATCCTGCCCGGAAAGGAGGTGGGCACATGTGCACGCAAAAGGGACAAATGAAAATGAACAGGACGAGACAGACAAAGGTGTGTGTGTGGTTGCCGATGAAAAGGAACCAAGTGAAGAGGGACAACCGATGAGCCAAACCTCATTGTAACGAACCTGGGCCACCTGAACCTTGCTGTAAGTAGAGTACGCGTGCGTGTATGTGTACAAACTAAGGTCCGGACGAGAGTGCGCGCAAGAGAAAGAAAGGATGAGGATGAAGAGACATGAAGACAGAAGGACATGAAAGAAAAGAAGGGAAAAAACGTCTGTGGTGGCGGATGAAACGGGAACCGAGTGAAAGGGGACAAACCGATGACAGTCCAAACCTCATTGAGAAACCTGTTGCAGAAGCCTAGTTTGCTTGTAAATACGCCACGCGCGGGGAAAGAGGGGGGAGGGGAGGAGGAAAAGAGAAGGAGGGAGAGAAGGAAGCAAAGGTGTTCCCAGCTACGGCACAAGCGCCCAAGGACACACCAAAAAGGAAGGGCTCCCAGCTATGACGAAAGCATCCAGGGACGCCCAAGGAAGAGGGTGAAGAGAGGAAAAAGAGAAGGAAAGAAAGAGAGAGGGAGAGAAAGGTAGAGGAGAGAAAGGAAGGTGTTCCCATCTACGAACAATCGTCCAGGGACACACCAAAGAAAGAAAGGGAGATCCTGAGTATTACATTCAGGAAAACCCCAGAAAGCAAAGAGAGAAAGGGGGAGGGAAGGGGGAGAAGGGGGGCTAAGTTCTCCACAGGTTCCAGCAAACCTTAAACTTGCTTTGACCGCTGCGGTCACCTTCTGCCCTGCCGAAATGGCTGGCTGCTTTGACCGCTGCGGTCACGTAAAGGCATGAGCCAACTTGGAATTCCAAAGATGAGACAAACATCCCACTTCTTGAGGCATAAGCCATCTACTGTCCGCTGCGGACATCTGCGTTCCCAGAGCCGGGGGAACATGGACAAACCCCTGTTCAACGGCTCCACGCGAGGCACTCTGCGGGCTCATCCCGGGTTGGCACGAGGCCAAACACACTTATGGATACGCATACTGAACTGAAAGCGATGCCACACGCCGGCTTAGGATTCCAATTCCTAAGGGTACATGTACGAACCACAGGAACCTGGAGGACTTCAAGAGGAAAGAAGGCCAAAAGCTCAAGGCGAAAACGGACCGACGGGGTGACGGCGTGACGTGCATGTCTGCGGAACTCACTAGCCCTTTACCAAAGTTCAAAAGTTCGAGGAAAGCAGGTACGTCACGGTGATCAGCCGTGATATCCGCATGTACTGTGGCCGCTTCGTTGGACCATCGCACACAGTACATGCATGGTCCCCCTGCTACATAACGAAAAGACAAAAACAAAAAACAAAACAATCCGAAAGGATCCCTGTGATTCCAAGGGTTACACACACACTGTTTGGGGTCTCTTGCCAGGATAATGTTTTTTCAGGCACCTTTCATTGTTTCATGCAAGACTCGGACATTGCCTTCCACTGAGGAGTTGGAAAGAGATCAAGTGAAAAAGGCAGGTCCGGACAAGAGGGTGCACCAGGTCATCCCATCCAACTCTATGACGCAGGAGACTCCAAAGGCCCTTAGATTGATGAGGGAAGAGATCGCAGAAGCAAAGAAGGAGAGACGATTGACCAGAAGTTAAACAAGCTAACGCGGACGTTTGGAACTCGAGAATCGTGAGCCCTTTCATGGTTTTGGATGCGTTAAAAGAACCAAAGGGCGAAAACACCTGTCTTGCCCCCTTGCCTGGTCTGCCTTCTTCTCTTTTGTTCACACTGCAGTGGTAAAGCCTGTTCCACAGACGTCCATTGGGAAATCCCTTTGACCGAGTGTTGGTCTGCGGTTTCTGGAACTGCTTTGCATGCTGCCACAGCCTGTCCAGCTGCTGCGTTCCAGCCATGTGAAGCTTAGTCCGCACCTTTGTCCTTTTCGATCAGTGAAACAGCCGGTGAGACACGTGTCTAATCATAAGCCTCTTTGGTCTCAGTTCACTCACAGCAGCAGATGACAATGTGGTGAAGTCGATGACAATGTTTTGAAACCGATGACAATGTTAAGTCATTGACCATGTTATGAAACTGATGACAATGTTGTGAAGTGCTGCCCCACCCCAAATTTAATCACATGGTCAGCCGATGACAACGTGAAGTCCATGACGTTAAGCGTCCAAGTCCCATGGATGTACGTCCCTTAAACAAGGATGTGAACGGAACATGGTTACCGCCTTGTTCAACATGCAATCCCACTCAAGCTGTAAAACGACTGAACTAGTGGCATGAAAATAGGACAAAACATGGGCATTTGCAAGCCGTGAGGACATCGAAGAGAAGATGACTAAGATGACTGAGGATATTGCAGCAGTTTGGGAGATGTTTCGGGGCATGTTTGGGCGTTCTGATTCGGCTGCTGCAGCTCCACCTGAACTGTTGCCGCAGGATGCAGCACTTGCATTGAAGAACGAACTGAAGCAAGAGATTGAGAAGGTGAAGTGGGCTAAACTGGTTGGAGCAAAGCTGAAGAGCAACCGAGGGCATTTCGCTGTAGAGAGTTGAGCTGTTCTACTTAACCTTTTGGTGCGCAAACCTGTTTCAGAAACTACCAGGTGTACGGTGTACCCGGTCCGCAGACCCAAATTGCTTCAGAAACGTTGCCATTTCCCCATGAAACGAGCCCCCTCGGCAAGTCCACGCGAACAAGTTTCGGTGCAGACATTGGTAGCGGGGGAGATAATTACTATGTTTCATGAGATTGTTTGCAGCTGTGCTTCCAAGTATGACTCAGTCGAGTTACTCTACAACTTTGGAGGAATAACAAATTTGCTGCGATCAAGTCATAAGGGGGGATCTCAGGGCCATTGGCAACGTGAGGGGCGGCAATGAAAGTGGTTCTTGTGCGCTCACCAATTTGTTTGAAGTTTGTGCAGATCAGAGTTCCATGGACCATTGAGTTCCATGATGAGAAAATGTGTCCTCGAAAGCTTTTAACCCTCGAGGCTCTATTTCATTGCAGGCCCTCTCGCGTTGCCTGCATGGTCGTATTTAAATATTTATTTGGTGAGAGTCTTGATAAGCAGAGGAAGATGTTTTGTCTTTGCACATACGAAGCCAGCAAACATATCGAAACTCCAATCCTTCACAGCAAGTTGACGAAGAAAAACAGGTGTTGAAACTCCAAAGAGCCTTGAAGCCAAGGCAAGAGTAGCATAGCGTAGTTAATGGAGTTTCGACAAGTCCTGCGCTAGGAAGTCTCTCTCTGTTAGGAGTTTGGGGACGGGTTGTTTTCCGCCTGCGAGGATTTACAAGAGAAAATGGCAACAAAGGCCCGCAGCAACATGTGAAGTGTTTTTCGACCATTTTGGCTTGACTGTGCCAGCTAGTTTGGATTGGTGTCCTTTAGAATCAGCGTTGGCTATGCGCCAGATTTCCACCATAGTAGCACAGGCACAAGGCATGGAGAACGCTGAAGGGCTGAAACAAGAGATTGACAAGGTCAAGAAGGACAAAGACATTAGTAGACTGGAGCAGAACGGAAGAAGAGCCGATTGCTCATTGTAAAAGGAGTGTAGCTTGGTGTAGAACCCTTCCAAGAAAAGGTGGAGTTGACCACTCGGTGCAAGGAAGCAACCCAGGTTTCGAAAGTCAAAACAAGTGGGCAAGAAAGAGCCCGACAAGCTTAAGCGGGCCAAAGGTAAACAAATATATGTGTCCAATGATGTTTTGGTATGTCTTTCCTTTGTCATGCAAAACTGCGGCTTCTGCAGCAGTTTGCACTCTCACTTTGTTTCACAAGTGCTCCTTTGATTATTGCGCGTTGGGGATCGGTTCTTTGACTGCGAGGATTTAGAAGAGAAAATGGCAAGAAAGGCGTGAAAGATGTGAAGCTTCATTCGACCATGTTGCATTGACTATTCCAGCTTTGTTGCCCAGGATGCTGATAAGTTAAAAAGCGAATTGGAGCAGCAGATTGGGAAAGTCCAAGAGGCGATAAACCGTGCGGGTCGCGGACGTCTTGATGCAGTCATGGTGTTGAATGCATAGCCAAGCATATCTCCTCGCAAGTCTCATCGCATCATCTCAAGTTGTGTTGTTCTGCGTCTCGGCTTTGACCTGAGTGTTTCCACACGGTGAGAAAAAAGACAGACCTTGTTGGCCATACCCTCAGATGTTGGACTTGTTCGCCATGCTTTGCCTATCATCTTCATCCACAGGGTCCGCGACTCGCCCACTCCGATGACTCTGTTCGGATGTTCCATGGCCCAGTGGCCCAAACGGCCGAAACCGAACAGCCAGTCGTGAACGGAGCATCAACCACTCGTGAACGCCAATTTGTGAACAATTGCTAAGCCACATCCAGCAACGTAGGAAAATCGGCAACATTTATCTTCCATGAAGTACAGTTAAAAAATGCATTGAACCATACTTAGTTGGAAGAGTATTTTTGTCAACACGTGGTCAGCAGAACATCGGGGTATCTAATGTTTCAAACGTGCAGCAGCGAGCCACCTGAATTGACAATTGGTTTTGTGGGCAGCTGGTTTTTCATCAGCTTGCCACTAACAAGAGAAGACTCTACAGAGCCATATACTGGAGCCAGTCAAGCAACATCAAGGTTATTTTTTTCGACAGAATCGGTTGTAAGGGTTGCTTGCCAGCCTCCCCCTGTGGTGGCCCACACGTACAAGCGAGAGGGGTCTCTTATAGAACGCAATAGTTCGCACTTGAAATTGGTGCAATTTATTTCCGTCTTTGTGTTTTGCAGGTTTGCTGGGTGGTCTTTTGTTCCTTGGCCTTCATTTTCCGTGCCCTTCTTTTGTTTTGTCGAGGACTTGAAAGATGACTTCGACCAAGTCGTTTTCTGCGAGGACATCGTTTTGTGTCTGGTTGAAACCTCGTGAAGTGCCTTTTTGGTTGCACCCTTTTGTAGCTTCGAACGCAAGGACAGTCTCTGGAAGTCATTGCAACGCATGCAACGCAAGCGAGACCGCGCCAAAGAATTCATCAAACAAAAGAAGTACGAAGAAGCAAAAAACCTTCAAAAAGAAGTGTGGGACGCGTGCAAGGATTTGAAGCTCAAGGAGGCCGTTATTGTGCTTTCGCGTGCCGCGGCAGTTCATAGGAACATATACATGTCTTATCATTTCTTGTCCACTGCATGTCGTAATGTCGTAACTCTCACAATGCCCACAGATTCACCCAACACCAACATCTCAAACCAAAATGCTCCTCCAAGCATGGAACCACCCCCGGAACGTTTATATGCGACCAACCCTCGTTTTCTCGGGGAAGGGTCGACAGTGTATAATTGACAATGGGTGGAAAGTTGAAACGGCTCGGTTGGCGGACATGTCCAGTCTTTGTGAGTGACTCGACAACACTATCACTGGCCCTATAGCTACCAGAAAGTAGTGGTGACAGTATCAGTGGCTTTGAAACCCTTGCTGACTTGGACAGACGCCTAAACAAGCACTGTCCAATCTAGATATCGCATAATCGAGTGGCATGAGGTAAGGAGGGTATAGACCGAAACATGGCGACCTATGTTTGCACGACAACGATGTTTCTCACTATGTGGAGGACGACCGCATGACAATAGAGGCTCAGCACCAGTACGCGACCACACTTCAGTTGCAGCGGAAGTTTACAGATGCAGAACCGCTTCAACAGGAAGTCTTGAAAGTGGCAGAGGGCAAGTTCAAGGACCAAATTGTTAGCGGAACAATCGTGTTCATTTCAACAAACGACGCTACTGTACCAGCCAAAGTTTTTTGCCAGTGGTTTCAAAAGCTACCTGCAGATCCCAACCAGTTTCCTCGAGGTTTTTAGCTATACCCAGTGAGGTGCCTTAGGGGAAGGTGAGGCCCCATGCAACCCCATGCAATGCAGTTGACTCAGACGTGCAGGATGATCCGTTGACCTTGGAGGCTATGCACAACCTGGCCTGCACACTGTGGCATTTGGGCCGACTTCCTGAAGCAAAAATCCTTTACGAGAAGGTCGTGCAGAAGTACAAGCATGCCAAGCAGGAGCTTGTTAAGCATGGCAAAATGCTTTATTTAACGCATGTTGTTGTACGCATGTTGCTGTTGTTGTTGTTGTTGTTGTTGCTTTTTAACATATGTTGCAAGATTGCCTTGACAAGGTTTGAACAGATCGAAAGATTATCCGGTTCAAAAAGATCAGAAGATTATCCGGTTCAAACAGTTCAAGCTCCCAACCACCGATTGATCAAACTTGCATAGGCTGTGGCCATGCCCAAAGTTTCTCATCTTGCGCATGCTGCGCGTTGCTGCCACTGGTAGACAAGAGTTTCCACTCCATCCAGGTGCCCTCAAAAAGTCTACTTCTTCTCCTGCATAGTAAAGCCGTAGGTCCAAACTGCATGTCTTGAACGAAGAACTTGGCCCAAAATCGCGCCCGATGTGTCGCAGGACGATTTGGCCCAGCAGTGTCAGAAAGATCTTGAAGCGATCCGGAATGGCAAAAGTGCGGAAGATGAGGGAGCCGAAGTCAGAGTTGCTCCTCGAGGTTGGAAAAACAAGATGGGGTTCGGTCCACAAACTCAAACTCTATGCAGTTTGCGTCTTTTTGCAAACTTGTTCTATTTTTGATCTGTCAAAACACTGCTTTTGGCAGCCATATAACCACCGAAGGAACCGGGCCTTCACAGGTATGCGCGGCTTCGTAAAAAAACACCTTTCAATCTTTACCTCATCAAAATCTCAAGCCTGGCGCTGGCTTGTTGGATATAGGTTGATGCTCACTTTTGTTTGATAGGGTGTCTTCAATATATTGGGTGACTGACAGCTCACCGATGTAGCAACCGAAGACCTGCCACATCCTGCCTCCAATGCTTGTCTCAACTCACAGCAACCCTTGAAGCAGCCGATTCACTATGCCATTTGCGTCAGACTGTAGCAGAACCCATGGCGAACCCAGTCACTCAACCACTCAACATAGTCCTAGTAGACGAGTTCAATGTGTTTGACCAGCTTGCGTTTCATCCATCTTGTTTTTGCCGCGCGGGACGAGCAAACCGACCAGGTCCTACGTCTGGTTCACAGAAAAAGCATGTGATGCTGTCTGGTCGCTTCAATAATGACAATATTCTAGCCTACATCAAGGATGTCAAGGCTGAGCTTAAGAAGCAGAACATCGATGTCTTCATGGTGGAGAAGGGAACCGGGGAAGAGTATGCCGGAGCAACGATGTGGGGAATGTACAACGCAAAGGCCATGGTGATCTTCGGTACTGATGAATATGGTGCCAAGACAGGAGCGCAATATGAGACGTACTATGAGCTGCAATATGCGCATCAGGAGAAGATATTCCTAATTCCTTTGCAGCTGGGTGAGGAATGGCCTCCCAAGCCTACCGACAAAGATGGAGGAAACTTAGGGGCGATCCAAAATTTTTTTGTTCTTCGTCCCACCATACTTAAATTGGAAGATATCAAGATGGAAAAGGCTGTTCTGATGGCACAGAAGATTGCTGAAGCCGTCCGTCGACATGACAAGGAGGAGGAGGAGGAGGCGACTGATCCAATTGAAATGTGTTGTTTTCATTATATGGGGCCAGGTAATTGGTCGGGGGCAAGGTAGGGGTTGGAAGGTTCACTTTGGTTCGCTTCATGTTGGATCATTGATGAAAGAAGTGAGCTTATTCTGGGCTCCACCGCTACTAGTTTCTAGTCATGGTTTGGAGCCTTTATTGACCACAAGCGATAGTCCCGAGTACCTATTAATAAAGAGAGAGGAACGCTGTGAGGGCCCGTGTTTTTCAGTGTTTTTGTTTGGTTTTTACTATATTTGGGCCTGTTACACAAAGGATATGAAGTCTGTGGTGAAACAGCTGGTCTTGCATCACATGTTCCAGTTTCAAAAACAAAAGAATTGATGCTAAGAGTAGTGAAGCAGCTAAGCTAAACTTTGACAAAAAAAATATTGTTATTGATCTTTCTGGTATCAACTTCAAAGAAATGTGATAACCCATTATTAGGCCATACAAATAATATTGTGCAACCATTATCAAATTCTGTCAGATATGACTTTTGCTTGCTCCTGC